AATCCTTTCATACACTACCACTGGTTTAGAGCAAAACCCCTCACCCTGAAGGTATTAGGTTGGCCAAAAAAGTTTGTAGGTAAAAATAAAAGACACATTTTCCATTTTCACCAGTAACTTCATTAAACAAGGCATTCACCATTTTGCTTCACTGCCTTCTGCCATCTTTCAGGGAACTTCAAAATTCCATCTTCCCAAAACTTTTTATTTTTAAGCAAAGAACTGTTTCAGGTACCTTTTGTAGTCGTCCAGAGAACTGAAACTTTTTCCATTAACAGAATTTTGTAAAGACCAAAATAAATGAAAATCCAAAGATGCAATGTCTGGTGAATACAGCAGATGAATCAGAACTTCCTAGCCAAGCTGTAACAGCTTTTGCCCAGTCATCAAAGAAACATGCAGTCTTGTGTTATCCTGATGGAAGATTATGGGTTTTCTGTTGATTAATTACAGACACTTTTCATCAAATGCTGCTTTCAGCTGGTCTACGTGGGGACAGTAGTTGTTGAAATTACCCATTTGGTTTTCCGCAAGGAGCTCGTAAGAGAGGACTCCCTTCCAATCCCACCATATACAACATCACCTTCTTTGGATATGGTTGGTGGTTCATTTTGCTTTCCCTATGATCTTTCCTGTTCCACATTATTGTAAAGTAATAATTTACAATAATTCCAGTTTTCATCAGCCATCACAATTTGTTTTAAAAATGGAATGTTTTCATTACATTTAAGTAGAGAATTGCATGCAGAAATACAGTCAGGAAGGTTCTTTTTGCTTAACTTATGTGGAACCCAAACGTCAAAGCAATTAACATAACCAAGCTGCTGCAAATGATTTTCAATGCGTGATTTGGGTATTTTGAGTATGTCTGCTGTCTAATGTTGATGGTTTTCAATTAATGTCTTTATGTGATCATTATCAACTTCAACTGGTCTACCCAACTATGGAGCATCATTCAGTGAGAAATCTCCAGCATGAAACTTTGCAAAGCACTTCTGACACATTCAGTCATAGCACCTTCTTCATAGACTGCACAAATCTGTTTCGGTTGCGTTTTTTACCTTTCTTGAAATAATAAAGCATAATATGCTAAAATGTTGCTTATTTTCTTCCATCTGTAATGTTAAAATGGCTACACAAAAATTCACCAATTTTGATGTTTCTTTTTAAGTGCACACTGATATGACAGCTGTCACAATACAATCTAATGTATTTGTTTCAGCCAAAAGTTATGGGGAATTGTCTTCCTGGCACTGGAACCCTGGGCTGGGTGGTCTGGTCTGAGGCTGGGATCCCTTGCTCCTGAGGTATCCCTCCTAATTTTTATGTACCACACATGACGTGGGACTGCTCCATCCATATCCCTATGCCTCTCCATGTCTCCACCCCTTCTACCTGTCTGGATGAAGGTGGTTTTTTAAATCCTTGGTTGTCAGACTTCCACACAGCTCTATTTCCTGACAACTCTGGATGATATTTGTTGTGTAGTCTAGTTGTAATTTTTGTTATAGTTGTGTGAGAAGACGAGGCATGGTATTAACCTATGCCTATCTTGCCTAGAAGTACAAAATTGTTTTGAATGAAGTTAAAGACAATTAAGCACTACTAGAGCCATCAGAGGGGGAAAACCAAACAACTTTTTGGCCAAATATGCTGCATTTTTTTTTTGCATTTAAGTTCTTTTTTTAAAAAAAAATTATTGATTATGCTATTACAGTTGTCCCATTCCCCCCCTTCACTCCCCTCCACCCTGTACACCCTCTCCCACCCATATCCCTCCCTTTAGTCATGTCCATGTGCCATACTTATAATTTCTTTAGCTTCTACATTTACCATACTATTCTTACCCTCCCCCTATTTTCAACCTACATTCTATGCTACTTATTCTCTGTACTTTTCCCTCCCCTCTCCTCCTCCCACTCCCCTGTTGCTAACCCTCCATGTAATCTCCATTTTCTGTGGTTCTGTTCCTGTTCTAGTTGTTTGCTCAGTTTCTTTTGATTTTGCTTTAGGTGTGGTTGTTAACAATTGTGAGTTTGCTGTCCTTTTACTATACATGTTTTTTCTTTATCTTCTTTTCTTAGATAAGTCCCTTTAACATTTCATAAAATAAGGGCTTGGTGATGATGAACTCCTTTAACTTGACCTTATCTGAGAAGCACTTTATCTGCCCTACCATTCTAAATGAGAGCTTTACTGGATAGAGCAATCTGGGACGTAGGTCCTTCTCTTTCGTGACTTGGAATATTTCTTTCCAGGCCCTTCTTGCCTGTAAGGTCTCTTTTGAGAAATCAGCTGACAGTCTGATGGGAACTCCTTTGTAGGTGACTGTCCCCTTATCTCTTGCTGCTTCTAGGATTCTCTCCTTCATTTTTACCTTGGCTAATGTAATTATGATGTGCCTTGGTGTGTTTCTTCTTGGGTCCAACTTCTTTGGGGCTCTGTAAGCTTTCTGGATTTCCTGGAAGTCTATTTCCTTTGCCAGAGTGGGGAAGTTCTCCTTTATTATTTGTTTGAATACATGCTCAATCTGCTGCTTTTCCTCTTCCCCTTCTGGTACCCCCATAATTTGGATGTTGGAATGTTTAAAGATGTCCTGGAGGTTCCTAAGCTTCTCCTCGTTTTTTTGAATTTTTATTTCTTCGTGCTTTCCTGCTTGGTTGTTTTTTTCTTGCTTCTGGTCCACTCTATTGTTTTGAGTCCCAGTTTCCTTCCCTTCACTATTGGTTCTCCATACATCTTCCTCCATCTCTTTTATGGTAACCTGCATTTTCTCATCTAATTTGCACCCAAAATCAAACAATTCTGTGAGCTTCCTGATCACCAGTGTTTTGAACTGTGCATCTGATAGACTGGCTATCTCTTGGTTGCTCAAAAGGATGAGTCCGGGGGCATTGATCTGTTCTTCTGTTTGAGACATGTCTCTCTCTCTCTCTCTTTTTTTTTTTTTTTGCCTGGTCACTCCTGTTACGGTGAGGGGCAGAGCCTTAGGTGTTCACCTGGGCTGGGCACCCCAGTCGCTAGATTGTGACGTTGTTTGTGGGGGCGGGGGTGGGTACAATGGCGGTAGCTCCGTTCTCCTGGGATCTCAGTCCCTTCTCTGGGATCCTGGGTTGCACGATCTGCCCTGGTCCACAATGCTGCCTCACTGGGTCCGTCAGCCGCCGCTTGCGTACTCAGGGTCCACCACTGTTTCCTGGAAGGCTTACACACTCCCGGTTGCCTTATTCGCCCAGTTCTCCCCGATCTCCACGCGCTGGGACCGGCGCCCGTTCCTCCTCTCAGCCCCTCCTACTAGTCTGGATGAACGGGTCTACTTCAATTTCTTGGCTGTCCAACTTCCATTCAAATAAATTTTCTGTCAGTTCTGGGTGTTATTCTGCCTCTAAATTGTTGTTGTTCCAATCTTGGTTGTGCGTGGAGGTATGGTGCGTCCACCTATGCCTCCATCTTGCCAGAAGTCCAATATGCTGCTTTTTACATAATTCACTCTGAGAAAGTGGAGCACTTTATCATCTCAGCATCTTCATCACTTGCAGTGTTATAATATTCACATTCCCGCACCATGAGCCACAGTATGAGAAAGTTTCTTGTAACAATCCTTCTCATGGGTTTGTGAAGATTAAATGAGATAATGGAGTATTAACCAGCAAATTCTGAAACCCAAATGTGGCTGCACCTCAGGTTAAGTGTGCAAAAAATCACTAGCTTTATTGCGTCTTCTGAAAAAAAATCACTGTTTTCCTTGGGAACAACTTTTCTTCATTGGATGTCATGCTGAAGGAACCATCTATTCCTGGCTAAGGAACAGTAACATGACCTCAATTAGCCCAAGAAGACACACTCTTCCTAGAATCAGAATCTGGAGCTGTATCCAAAACTGAAGGGGAAAATATAAACAGAGAAACAAATAAAGCACATATGGAGTTCCAGTGTCTCCACTGAAGACTGGCTGTTAGTTCCTGCTGCCTGCACACTCAAAGCTCCCCAGGTCCTGTCTTTTCCAGACCTGGGTCTTTGGCTTTCCCACAGACTCCGTGATTCTCCCACAAACTTAAAACTCTCATAAACTTAAATTAGGCATAGTTGGTTTCCTTTGTTTTCAAAGAACTTCATCTGATACACTTTTCAAGAAAAGACTAGGTCTCTGCGAAGCTCAACAAATTCTTTACTCCTCTTTCCCTTCTTCCCTGGACAAGAAGAGGGTGTGAGCTACTGGCTGCTGGATACAAATTATCCTAAAACCTAGTGTCTTTAAACAATAAACACTGATTATCCCATAATTTGTGGGTGTTTGAAATTCAGGAGCAGCTTTGCTTAGTGGTCTGGCTCAGGCTCTTTCATGAAGGTTGCAGTCAAGATATTAGCCAGGTCATCTGAAGACTCAGCTGGGGCTGGAAGACCGACTTCCAAGATGGCATACTAACCTGGCTGTTGGCAGGAGGCCTCAGCTTCTTATTACATGCACCTCTACATAGGGCTGCTTGAACGTCTTCGTGTGGAAGTGGCTTCCCACAGAGTAAGGGATCCAAGAGAACAAGATGGAAGCCATGATGCATCTCAGCTCAACCTTATTCAGTGTGAACACCAAGAGGTAGCAATGACTCAGAGCTATCTCAGAGACTAGCTGCCAAACAGCAGACACTTAGAAGCCCTGTAGGGGGTCTCTGTAGCCAGCCACTGTCCTCCTTTTACTTAAGTTATTTCTCTTCACCCCAAGAACATCTCATTTCAGAGACTCACAGACAGTGGCATAACAAGTAATGGGTGTAAGAAGGCAGTAAATATAGGTGAAAGATACAGAATAGTCAGGGTGAAGGTGTCCATTCCAAGGACTAGGTCTGAAGAACTGCAAAAGGACAGAGGACCTCTAGGGAAGGGAAACAGGCTGCCCCAAGTCCAGGACAAAAAACTAGTATATGATGTAAGTGCTCCTCCCACCTAACAGATTAGTAACTTCTCTTTGGAGGCCCAAAAAAGTCTGACATCTAGATCATCTCTGCTTGTCAACCATCCTTTATTGCTCAAAGTCCAAAATGGGCTTGCGTATTGAGTCCAGGTTGTTGCCAAGCTGTCATAAGCTGAACTGTGTCGTCTCTGGTTGTACGTTAAAGCCCTAACCCCCAGGACCACAGAATGTGACTGTATTTGCAGCTGGGTCTTTAAAGATGTGATGAAGGTAAAACTGGGCAATTAGGGTGAGTGCTAATCCCATCTGACTAGTGTCCTTATAAGAGGACTTTTGGATAGAAAGAGATACTAAGGGCACACTCAGAGAGATAACCATGTAAGGCAGCAAGGCAGTCATCAGCAAGCCAAGGAGAGAGGAAACCTGCCAACACCTTGTTCTTCAAATTGCAGCCTCTAGAATGGTGAGAAAAAATTTTTCTGTTAAGTCCTCCAAGTCTATGGCATTTTGTTACAGCAGCCTGGGCAGCCTAAACATGAACCCTCTGGACTGTTCTATGAACTAGCTTGTAACCTCTGCCATATAATGTGGTATCAGAACCAGACATGAGGTCTTCTTCTCCATACTCAGGGAGTTGAGAAGGATCTGGGCTTCCTTAGCCGAATGGTGAGGACAGAGCTGCCTGGAGTTGTGAGTGAGCTTGTGTGCACCCAGAGACTCTGTTTCTACTTTTGGTTCTGATGGACCCCGAGGCCTCCCGCTCCTCTGCTCCAAAGGCAGTTTCCAAACACAACAGGTTCCTAGGGCTACCTCCAGTCTCCAGTACATCTCCTGTCAGTTGGAAAGCACCTTCTGTATTCGTTCCTGTACTTCCTTTGGTCCCAAAGACACCATCATCTCAGCTACAGGCGGTCCTTGCTAAGAAAAAAAAAAATCAGAAAACATTTCCTATGATCTTAAGCTGCCTAAGGAACTAATGCCCCCAGGCCAACCCCAAGGGAAAGAATTTGCATTTCACTGTCTTTCATTTTCCAGGCTGAGGCTGCATCTCAGGAGCCTGTTCTTTTGTGCTGATATGTCTGTTACCTCTCATCAACTGCCAGCTCCATGAAGCATGCAAGAAGGGTGTGTGTGTGTTTTATTCACTACTGTATCCTCTGTATCTAATATGGTGCTTTCACACAGTGGGTACTCAACACATATTGTCTCCTAAAATGACTGAGTGAGGGTAGTACTCATGTTTTATTCATCTTTGTATGAAAGATAAGTTCAGTGCTACTGGTGAATGATAGCTGAATGGATAAATGAGAGCTCCATGAACAGTCCAACCCATCTGCCCGCCTCACCGGCTGTCCACTGAGGGCCACTCGGAGGAGTTTCATCACATCACTGTGTTTGGTGCCAGCCAGACCTTCTGATAGCTTCTTCAGTTCTGCATTCAGTATCTCCTGAGTTAAGCTCATATCAGGTCCTTCTAAAAGCCTAGAAGAGGGTCAGTCTATGAGAGGCCTGCAGGAGCCAATGGCAAGTGGGTGGGAGGGAGAACTTTGGAAGACTATGGATCAGCTATAATATAAAGAGCACGGTAAATATTCAGGCCTGCCTGAGGGAAAGGGGAGGGAGGGAATATCTACTACTCCTATCCCCATGCAAGTTGGGGAAAGAAGAAACAACTAGGGAACCACATATACAGAGAATCTAGGCATATGTGGGCATAACATATAGAAATTAAGAGCATACCAAAATAAGAGGATTTACTAACTGCTACCTCTGTACAAGTAATTTCTATGCTTCAGTTTTCTCACCTGTGATGTAGGGATGACAACCGCATCTGCACCTCACAGGACTATGGTGTGGCTAAATTAAAACATGTAAAGAACTAAGCACACTGCCTGAATAGGTAGTAAGTACCCAAAAGCACTGGATCTTATACTTTAGTAAAAAGTTAGCTAATATTTATTACACCCAAGAGCTGAGAGACATTGCAAGAGGATCTGAAAAAAATTCAGGAATAGGTTAGATGTAGGATGGAAGGATGAAGCCCTCTGGGAAATGATCTGAAACACAGCTTAAACACTGGGGAAGAGGCGGAGATATAACATGGAGATATATATATTTTGGAAATATAACATGGAGAGCAGAAAGGAAGCAATCAAGAGACTGCAGCCCCAGTAAGAGCCCTGCCACCAACTTGCTACAACCATCCTTTGTCCACAGATTGAAGAACTTACGGATTGCAGCTCCATTGGGCCAGCAAATTGCCCTTTTCTGGCAGTCCAGCTGAGATCTTCTCCCAAAATCATGTTTGATTTCAAGAGGAATTCTCTATTCAGTTAGAACTGGACTTGCAAAAACTTCACCCCAGCCCTGATTTGGAATTAGAGCAAGAGACCGACACATGGTGGGAGGGAGTCTATCCCTCCCTGAACAGGGGCCGAGGCAGATGGTCCATGATGCCCACTCTGACAAAGCCTATTCACAACAGCATCTGGACAGCTCTACTCCAGAGGTTGGTTCAGTGCATAGTGCTGCTGGCTCTGGGTACCGGGTTTATAAGAGACTTGAGCAAACAGCCTTTCAGCACAGACAGATCTCCTTGTTAATTCTAGGGCTTGAGCAACTGAGTTCCAATTTGAGAGCAAAGTAATCATTCTTATTGCATCATTAACTGGGTCACATGATTGCTGTTATTTATGAAATGAAAGAGATAAAATAATTGAAAATATAAAACGTAATGTGGGAAAAAAATAGGCACTCTCCTTAATGTCATTGTGGGGAAACAACCTGCCAAGGAGCAGATGAAAGTGATAGGCCCCAGGTGGCCAACAATGGCTGCTCAGAACTAAGATCTGGCCTGGAGCTTGGCATGGGCACAGAAGGGATTTTGAGAGATCTGGCAGCTTCTGATCATTTATGTATCAGCTTTCCTGCCTTGAGTGGTAGCACCAGAGTGCCTCTAAATATAATTCCCATAGCAGGATAGCGAGTTAAGACTAATTCCAGTGAATTACAACTAACAGCCACTATAGTGGAATGTCCAAAATTAAGGGAGTATTATTACTAATGATAACAGTTCTTGGGAATTTATCTTGGTGCTGTACTTGCAAACATGCTTAATAATGTCTATTCAAGGTTACTCATCACAGCATTGTTTATAACAGCAAAATCTGGAAGCAATCTAAATGTTCATCAGTAGGAGGGGTGTTAAATAAATGGTGGTAAAGTGGTATAATAATGGGATAGGTGTTGCTGTAAAAAAGAGTGAGAATGCTCTCTAAGCACTGGAGAGATCAAAATATACATACATATTAAGTGAAAAAAAAAAGATACAGAATGGTGTTATTGTATTGTGCCTTTTGTGTTAAAAAATGGGGAAAATAAAAAGTATTATTTAGATATAGTTAAGAAGAGTAGGCTCAGGCCAGCTTGCTCAGTTGCTTAGAGCATCATCTTGTTACGCCAAGACTGTGGGTTCGGTCCCATCAGGGTGCATACAAGACTGAACCAATGAATGCATAAAGTGGAACAATAATACAATGTTTCTCTTTCTCTCTCCCTTCCTCTCTCTAAAACCAAAAAAAAAAAAAAAAGAATGGTAGTAACATACAGAGGGTTCTGGAACTGGGCAAATGGGGACAAGGATTAAAAACAGGACTCCCAATATATACCACATCATTTCTAGGTTTTAAACCCAGGCTTAAGAGGTCTGAGTGTATTAATAATCAAAATATTAAATTTCAAATTTAAAAAATTTTAAGAATAGAGTTGTGTATACCTATCCTTGAATACAGACAATTCACAAATGAAATTGCTAAGTATGGCTGCCTTTCTGTTGGGGGTTGAAGTAGGAGGGAAGATATTTTTTGCTATAAACCCTCTTGTACCACTTGTATTTCTTGCCACTTACGTATTTTTTTTTACAAAATATTTTATTCATTTATTTTTAGAAAAAGGGGAAGGGAGGGAGAAAAAGAGGAAGATGAATATTGATTGGTTGCCTCTTACATACCCTCAGTTGGGGACCTGGCCTGTAACCCAGGCATGTGTTCCAACCAGGAATTGAACCAGTGACTTTTTGGTTTGCAGGAGGATGCCCAACCCACTAAGCCACACCAGTAAGGGTGTACATATATTCTTTTCACTTCAAATTGTATAAAAATAGATTGAAGGTTCCTATGATTCAGGTACTGTCCAAGTACTTTACACCAAAGAGAAGCAAGAGCAAATTTCATTAGATACGTGGTCTCAACACAGACTGCCTGGGTTTGAATCCCTCATCCCCTAACTTACTAACTGTATCATTTTCCTCCCTTCCTTCTTTCCCTCCATCCCTCCCTTCTCCCCTCCCTCTCTTTCTAAATCAATTTTAGAGAGGGGGGAAAGGAGACAAAAAGAAAGAGAGAGAGAGAGAGAGAGAAACATCAATTTCTTTTTCTGTTTATTTATGCATTCATTGGTTGACTCTTCTATGTGCCCTGACCGGACATGGAATCTTCAACCTTGGGTGTATTAGGACGACACTCTAACCAACTGAGCTACCTGGCCATGGCCTGGCTGTATCATTTTAGACAAGTTACTTTTCTCACATTTTTAAAAAAGTTTTACTTATTTATTTTTAGACAGAGGGGAAGGGAGGGAGAAAACGAGGGAGAGAAACATCAATGTGTGGTTGCCTCTCATGCTCCCCCACTGGGAACCTGGCCCACAACCTAGGCATGTGCCCCAACTGGGAATCGAACTGGCAACCCTTTGGTACGCAGGCTGTTGCTCAATCAACTGAACAAACCAGCCAGGGCTCACTTTTGTATGTAGTAACAAAATTTTTAGTTCAGTACATGGGTGCCAAGTAAAAAAGTAGTAATGTACTTTTTTTTTTTACTGTAGTAAAAAAACTACATTTTCTGCACTTCCAGCCAAGATGGAAGCATAAGTTGATACATTTTGCCTCCTCACCCAAGCAAAAAAAAGGACAACAAACTTAAAAACAAAAAAATAACCAGAACTGCCAGAAAATTGAACTGTATGGAAGTCCAACAACCAAGGAGTTAAAGAAGAAACACTCATTCAGACCAGTAGGAGAGGTAGAGATGGGCAGAGAGGACAAGTGGCAAGGTGGTGGCTGGAGAACAGGACAGGGGAGGTGCCTGGAGGACTAGGTGGTCCTACATTTGCATGTGGATAAACCAGGAGGAACAACTGGGGAGTAAGACAGACCATGAAACCCAGGATTCCAGCACAAGAAAAGAAAGCCTAAAAACCTCTGGCTGTAAAATCTTCTGGGGTTGGAGCAGCAGAAGAAACTCCCAGCCTCACAGGAGAGTTCGTTCTAGAGACCCACAAGGTCCTAGAACCTATACAATCCCATCCACCTGAGAATCAGAACCAGAAGGGCCAAGTTTGATTGTGATAGTAGGGGAAGCAACTGAAAGCCTATTAGCGGCAGGCAACTGGCATTATTCCCTCTTGACCCCTCCCCCACATACAGCACCACAACTAAGCAACCAGGGTTGTCCTACTCTGGTGAATACTTAAGGTTCCGCTCCTTACAACATAACTGGTGCATGAAGACAAAGAAATATGGTCCAAATGAAAGAATAGATCAAAACTCCAAAAACAGAACTAAGTGATGAAGAGACAGCCAACCTATTAGATGCACAGTTCAAAACACTGGTAACCAGGATGCTCACAGGTTAAGGATGGCCATAAAATAGAGGAAAAAGTGAAGGCTATGCAAAGTGAAATAAAGAAAAATACACAGGGAACCAACAGTGAAGGGAAGGAAACTGGGACTCAAATCAATGGAGTGGACCAGAAGGAAGAAAGAAACAACCAAACAGAAAAGAAGGAAGAAACAAGAATTCGAAAAAATGAGGAGAGACTTAGGAACCTCCAGGACATCTTTAAATGTTCCAACATTCAAATTATAGGGGTGTCAGAAGGAGAAGAGGAAGAGAGCAACAAGTGGAAAAGTTATTGGAACAAATAATGAAGGAGAACTTCCCCAATCTGGCAAGGGAAATAGACTTCCAGGAAGTCCAGGAAGCTCAGAGTCCCAAAGAAGTTGGACCCAAGGAGGAACACACCAAGGCACATCATAATTACATTACCCAAGATTAAAGATAAGGAGAGAATCTTAAAAGCAGCAATAGAAAAGGAGACAGTAACCTACAAAGGAGTTCCCATAAGACTATAAGCTGATTTCTCAAATGAAACCCTACAGGCAAGAAGGGGCATGAAAGAAGTATTCCACGTCATGAAAGGCAAGGATCTACACCTAAGATTATTACTCTATCCAGCAAAGCTTTCATTTAGAATACAAGGGCAGATAAAGTGCTTCTCAGATAAGGTCAAGTTAAAGGAGTTCATCATCACCAAGCCCTTATTATATGAAATGTTAAAGGGATTTATCTAAGAAAAAAAACATAAAAAATATGAACAGTAAAATGACATCAAATTCACAAGTAACAACTGAACCTAAAAACAAACAAACAAACAAACAAACAAACAAAACAAACAACTAGAACAGGAACAGAATCACAGAAATGGAATCACATGGAGAGTTATCAGAAGGCAGGTGGAGGGGGAGAATGGGGGAAAAGGTACGGGTAATAAGAAACTTCACTGGTAGGCAGAAAATAGACAGGGGGAGGTTAAGAATAGTATAGGAAATGGAGAAGACAGAGAACTTATATGTACGACCCATGGACATGAATTAAGGGTAGGGAATGCTGGGGGGGGTGGGGGTGCAGGACAGAGGGGAATAAAAAGGAGAAAAAAATGGGACAACTGTAATAGCATAATCAAGACAATATACTTAAAAAAAAAAGTGCATTTCCCAGACTCTCTTGTGGCCTGCTGTGGCCATAAGATAGATAGCTAGTGAGATACAGATGGAAATGAATGTGTAGCTTTTAAGCCAGTTCACAAGGAGGGGGAATGTCCTATCTGCCTCCTCTTTTCCTCCGTCCTCTTCTGGCTGAATAATGGATGGTTCATGAGCCACTGTGGATCACTTAGACAAGAGTGAAATCTAGGGATGGCATGACCCTGGAGACATGGAAGAAAGCCATTCACCCCAGGACTGTTAGGTAAAGGGAAATACACTCATTAGTTGGGAGAGAATCACATTCTCCATCTACCTTGTCCAGAGCCTCTACAGAAACAGTAGCCAGTGTGGAGGAGTGTGGACAGGGAGTCAAAGGGATAAACAGAGAAATTGGGACTTGGGGATATATTTTTGGGCCCTGTGATAAACCTCAAGTCAGCCCTTGTTCTGACCACTGCAATTACACAAACCAGTCATTCCTCTCCATGGTTGTTTTCCACCCTTGTTATTGCAAGTGTTCTGGTACTGTTATAGTAAGAACTAGTATCATCTCCACCTTTCAGATGAGATAACAAGCTGAAAGAGGTGCAGTAACTTGGCCAAAGTGAAGTCATCTAGGCAGATGAACTAACTGGATGAGTAAAAGGTGAGCCAGGATGGAACCCAGGTGGGTATAACACCAGAGTCTGAATGCATCACCTCTTTCAGGGAGAGCCTGGGCTTCTCTAGGCTCCCCTCCTACCAAAAGAGTCAGTGAATGATTAGCTCACCAAGAACCTCTCACTAGCCATGAGTTATGCTGCAGGCCTAACTGCAAGCCCTGGGGTAAAGGAGACCCTGGGAGAAGAGAGGGTAAGAGGATGCAGAACCTTGAGCTTGGCTTGGGGGACTCACCCTAGCACATGCTTGGCAATCACATCCACCTTCTCTGAGATGGCATATAGCTGTGCTCGCCTCACAGCAGGGCGTGTCCACAAGTAGGAGTGTGTTGGGGAGACCAGGTCCTGCAAACGGCAGATGTGACCCTGGAGGAACAGGCAGACCTTCAATGCACTGTGGACAGGGCTGACATGCTGGAAGGGTAATAATGGGGGTACTGCCACTCCCTCAGTCACCCAGAGCTCCCAACCCTACACCTGTCTCAGTAGGATGATCCTTTCTACATAGGCTGTGTCCAGGACAGTCCTGTCTGGCAGCTGGCTCCCAAATGTCTCTTCCACAAGAACCTGCAGCTTTCCCACCAGCTGGCGCCTCTGGGTCTCACTGCTCACCAGCCGACGAAGGTGCAGCCTGTGGGGGAAGCCAAAGGAATTCCCTTTACACTTAAAGGGATCTGGTTAAGGTTTTAAACAGGTAGCTTTAAAAAGCAACCTAGAGCCCGGGCTGGTGTGACTCAGTGGATTGAGCACAAGCCTGTGAACTGAGGGGTCACCAGTTGGATTTTCAGTCAGGGCACATACCTGAGTTGTGGGCCAGATACCCAGCTGGGGATGTACGAATAGCAACTGAAGGATGTTTCTCTCCATCTCTTTCTCCCTCCCTTCACCTCTCTCTAATAGTAGATAAATAAAATCTTTAAAAAGCAACCTAGACCCCTGGCTGGTGTGGCTCAGTGGATTGAGTATTGGCCTGTGAACCAAAAGGTTGTAGGTTTGATTTCCAGTCAAGGCACAGGCCTGGGTTGTGAGCCAAGTACCCAGTTAAGGGTGTGCAAGAGGTAACTGCACACATTGATGTTTCTCTCCCTCTCTTTCTCCCTTCCTCCCTCCTCAATCTCTAATAAATAAATAAATAAATAGGCAAGCAACCTAGAAATATGCTGCTTTAGTGCTTTTAAAATGGTAGCTAACATTTTAACTAGAAAGATATCACACAAAAATAAGAGACTTCTGACTTTTTTCAAAAAAAGACTTTTTTCATTTATTTATTTTTAGAGAGAGGAGGGAGAGAGAGAAACATTATCAGTTACCTCTCTTATGCCCCCACCTAGGGATCTGGCCTGAAGCCCAGGCATGTGCCCTGACCAAGAATCAAACTGGTGACCTTTCAGTCACCAGTTCAGATTTTTTTGTTAGTTCGTAGGGTAATGCTCAATCTACTAAGCTACACCAGCCAGGCCTCTGACTTCTCTTGTTGGGGTATCAGATCTGGCCACAAAGGGTCCTCATTCCCCATGCTTCAGGTGGCTTGAGCAGAGTAGAAGCTGCCTAGTTTAGACTAACAGAGCTTTCTGGTTTGCAACCCCTCTGTCCCCACCCGACCCTCTTGTCTTTCTCCTGGTCCATTGCCATCCCCTGGGCCACCTGCCTGATCTCTACAGGCACCCACTTACAAAGCAGAATCAGCAGTGTCTCCTTTCTCTTATAGCTTGAAGTATGGGCTCTGGCACAAATGAGCAAAGGACAAAAAAATGGATTTCTAGGATTAAGAGCAATGGGACAGTCATGGGGCAGAGTTGTTTGAATTCAGAGCTCCCAGTTTAAAAGTTCAGATTTTTTTGTTAGTTGAAATTCCCTCACCCTTACTCTTGCTGGATAGATCAGTTGGTTAGAGTGACCTCCCAAAACATCAAGATGGTGTGTTCAATCTCTAGTCAGGGAATATACAAGAATCAACCAATGAATTCATCAGTAAGTGGAACAAAAAAATCAATGTTTTCCCTTTCTCTAAAAATCAATCAACAAATTTAAAAAATGAAAAAATTTTTCTCTCTCTTCTAGACTTGTCTTGTTTCTTCTTTCTAAGGCAGCAAAGCCTCTCAGACTCCAACCCTCCAGCCAGGCCCTGTCAGTCCTTGGTCCTCTAGGCTGCCCTTGCCCTGTCCCTAGCAGGAGTAGAGGGGCTTGAGAGAAAAAGAGCGTGAGTGGTGCCACATAGGGACTCTTGTGGGTAGAGGAAAGGCAGGCAGCCAGGGGTTGGTCAACATCTCATGGGCTCTGTAATTGAACAGGCTTGTGAGTGAGGCCAGCCCCACCAGGTGTTCACAGCAACTGACACGACCATATGGAGCCTCAGGATGGTCACCTGTAATGTGGGAACAACAGCAGGCCTCCTTCAGAGATCACTGTGCAGATTAAATGAGGGACTATCAGTAAAGCACTGAGCACAAGGCCTGCCTTGCTACCACAACTGGGGCTGGAGGCAGGCAGGGATCTGAACAGAGGACCCAGCATGTCAGGGAGGGTAAGAGCTCCTGGGAGGCTATCTGGAACACAGGGTAACCAAACACATAATAATGGTTTTTTTTTTTAACAATTTAAAAAATCACATGAAGTTGGTACTGAGACTATTTTTAGGATGTCCCTAGTAGCTAGAGAAGACAGTAGAAGGAAAGGAATCGAAGACCTGGTACCCCTGTTTGAGATAACACAGGTAGGTTCCAGGGCCTGGGACACACTAAGTGCTGGATGACTTAATCACTATTACTATTTCCATCACAGCACTAGTGCTGCTGCTGCCATGACAACCACTACTGCTCTCTTTACTGTTAGGAACTTATCACAGCAGTGCCTTTGTTACTGGAACATCTAACATAAAAGCTTCAGCTGTGTTAAAACTGTGGGAATCCCAAAGCCACATCTCCTCCCTGAATCACCCTAAGCAAAAGCACACCTCTGTATGTGCTTCAGGGGTACTAGAGCAGGCTACAAAGAATCCCCCAGTCCTCACCCCATCTTCTCTTATGGAGAACACTGCATTCTCCATAAGAAAGGCAGAGTACAAGTAGCAGTCAGTGTATGTGTTGCATTTGTTTTTGAATGCCTCACCCAAGAGCTGCCCACCATTTACTTAGTGAACTTTGTCCAGTTAGGTAACTCTTCTATGTCTTGGTTTCCTTGTGTGTAAAATAGGGAAAAATCATACAACTGATCTCACAGGTTTGATTGCATAAGTAAATGAAGTAATAACTGCCATTCATGAGTTTCCTGGGCTCACACAAAGAGAGCACTGAGGAGAGCCTGTCCCCAAACCAGTGCTCAAGAGAAGGTATCAGGAGTCCCTGCAACCATGAATACAAATTTGTCTGCTGCTTTACCACCCAGGCCCTTAGAATGGGACATGTAAACAATGATGGGAACTATAATTGTGTTGGGAGGTTTCTGAGTGAAGGACCACTTGAAACATGAAATAGATGGCATGTTTATTGTTGGCAGAAAGTGCTTGTTCATTGCTGGCAGGTGGGAGTGGTTCTAACATGAAGATGTTCCCCACCAGGCTTTGGTGGTCAACAGAATCCATACAAGGGTATCCAATAATGATAATGATAAAATAATACCTACCGTTGACAGAGTACTTTCTGCGTGCCAGGCGCTATGCAAATACTTTGATGCAACATTTAACTGAACTCTTACAACTGCACAAAGTGGGTACTGTTATTAGACCCATTTTAGAGAAGAGGAAACCGAGTCCTGAAGAGGTCACACAGCATTAGACACCTGAGCCCACAGTCAAAATCAGGTGTATGTGACTCTGGAGCCCATAGGACCCTCTGCTGTAGGGAATCCATCATCAGCAAGAAAACCCTTTTCCACCAGGGGTTCTCTAGCCCCCCACTTACCTGTTGAATTCTGGGAGCTTCTCCAGGTCTAGCAGGGCTGAGTGGCAGGTGATCCGGGTCAGGTCAAACTGTGCTATCAGCTCTGGCAAGGTCCTGCCTGTCCGGTTCTCTGCAAGCAAAGGAAGTCCAGCTGCTCAACTCCCTCTCTCCCTCCAGTTTCAACTCCAAGGGAGCCTGAGTGAGCATGCTCTGGGCTCCCCATCCCATTTTCTTCAAAGGGATTCAACCTCTAGCTATTTTTACATCAAGGGCACAAATGAGCTTTCATTTGCAGAAAGGGTTCTATCACTAAGGAAAAAAGCAGTTTGGAAACAATCAGGCTTAATCCACCCTCACTGCCCTCAAAGACATGAGCTGCAGGAACAGCATGCCCACTGTCTAGCTCTACTGCAGCCTCTGATTCCATTGGTATGGTGGGGTCTGAGCACCAGAATGCTTTTTAAGCTTCCTGCATCATTCTAAAGTGCAGCCAGAGTTAAGAATGCTGTGTTGGGGGCTGCTTCTCAAAAGCAGCTGCTCTGTCCCATACAGCTAGTGGGTATCGTGGTCAGATGTCAGCCTACAGTGGGCCTCTGCCATGTCACTTACTAGTTGTGTGACATTGGCAAGTTACCTAACTGGGAGGCTCCTCTTGGAGCCTCCCAGTCCTCTTACAAACAGTGGAGATAATAAACATCTGACAAGGCTATTTGGAGGATTAAGTAAGAGCAGAATCAATAATAAGCAGACTATTACTCTCTCATTTTCAGAAATCTTCCCCTCAAAGAGGTCATCATATTTGGTGCTTCTCTAAGATTTGACTCTAAGTTTTGGTCCAAGAATAAGGGCTTAGTTTGGAATAAACTGGGGTCACAGTAATACCAGTAATACTATTAGAGTAGTAACATAACTGTAATAAACATATTATCTGCAACTATGTAGCAGATACTGTGCTGGGGTCTTACACTCATGAGCTCAGTGAATGCTAACTTACACCTAAGCGGCAGACACTTAGCCCCATTTTACAGATGAAGCAACCAGGATTCAGAGACCATAAACGCCTCGAGGGCAGGGATTATACCTGTCTTGTTCACGGTTGTAGCCCCAGTACTAACACAGTGTCTGGCTCAATAAATATTTGTGGAATGAAAGAATGAACTTGTGCAAGTTCACATAGGTGGTAGGTGGCACAGCCGGACTGAGGACCAGGTGGGCCTGGACCCATGCCCTAGATCCTCACTGCGATGGTCCCACTGTGACCTCTCAGGTGGGCAAGTACCTGCAAACCCTGAGCCACAGTTAGTGATGATGTCAAGTAAGGCATCTGGAAGGAAGCCGGCAGCAGCAAAACACTCCAGGAAAATGTCCCCTTGCCTCTTGGACAGTTTACTGCCATCCTTGTTGAGGAGCAGAGGCAGGTGGGCAAAGCGAGGCGGTGACCAGCCTAGGGCCTGGTAGAGAAGCAGGTGCTTGGAGGTTGAGACCAGCCACTCTGAGCCACGCAGCACATGGCTAATGCCCATGTGGTGGTCATCCACTACGCAGGCCAGGTGGTATGTGGGGAAGCCATCACTCTTCAGGATGACTGGATCCCCCTCCACACTGGCTACTTCATGCCGATTCCAGCCAAATATCAAGTCCTGGAAGGCCGGCGCCTCGTCCTCTAGGCGAAAGCGGATAGCAGGCTTGGGGTCCTTGGCCAACTTCTGGGCTACCTGCCCCTGGCTCAGGTTCCGGCACCGATTGTCATACCTGTTGGAAAGTAGAGCAGCATAGCTGCTAAGAGTACTGATGATGGGCATAAGCCCTAACTCCGTCTCTGATAACTGTATGACCTTCTGTCAGTAGACAAGTACAACATTGTTTATAACGAAAAATCAGCCCTGGCTGGTGTGGCTCAGTGGATTGAGTACTCGCTGTGAACCAAAGGGTCACCAGTTTGATTCCCAGTCAGGGTACATGCCTGGGTTGTGGGCCAGAGCCTGACTAGGGCTCACCACATGAGAGGCAACCAACTGATATATCTCTACCTCTCTTTCTCCTTTCCCTCCCTCTCTCTAAAAAATAGGTAAGATAAAATCTTTTAAAAAAAGAAAAATCAGTGCTGCAGTGAATGTTGTGACCTTGTCCAAACATCTGGGCCCTTCTGTAGACAGTTCATTGAAACTGGAACTTGAGTTATGATGCCACTCCTGACATGAGTTGAGTGCAGCTAGTGCAGGCTCATCAGGCAGCACCATGTCTTGAAGATTCCAATGAAACATTGCATGTTCCAACGAAACAAAATGATGCCTGTCAACATCATTTGCCACAGCTCTCTCTTTTTTATAATAAAAGATTAGAAATAATATGTGCATTAGTAAGGAACTTAAGTAAATAATGATATATCCACACAATAGAATACTATGCAAACATCAGAAAACCTGTGCACTGATACAGACTAATCCTTGAGACAAGAAGTTGCACAATAGACATATTTTGTGCTATCACTTGAAGAAAAGAGGAAGAGAAATGATATGCATGTATCAGTGTACATACTGAATGTCTCTGCAGGAGACATAAGCAAATTCTAACACCAGTTGTCCCTGGAGAGGAAATTAATTAAGTAGCCAGAGTCAGGGTTGGGAGAGAGCTTTGTATGCATTTTTCTGAACATGAGAAAATTTTATTTATGCAACATAACTAATAACTAAAATTACATGTTTCTGCCTGGGACCCAATGCAGTTGGCAGCTCTGACATGATCTCAGTGATCCCTCCCACCCTCCTGGTATTTCTGCTCTTGTGTCCTTCCCTTCCTCTGAGTGTTGGCTGGACCTGGTGACTTCTTCCTAATGAACAGAGCACAACCAAAGTGATGAGCTGGCACTTCCTTGATTAGGTTACAGAAATACTCTGGTTTCTGTCTCACTCTCTCACTTTCTCCCTGGCTCACTCTATGGAAAGCCAGCTGCCATGCTGTGAGCTGCCCTACGGAGAGGCCTGAGTGGCAAGGAGATATGTCCAAGCAACAGCCAGTGAGGCCCTGAGGTCTGCCAATAGCCTCATGGCAAATGGAAGCAGATTCTCTGTGAGCTGGGCCTTAAGATGACTGAGAGCTGTCCAGGATCCTGGCTGCAGCATTGAGAGAAACCTTGAGTCCTGCCCTACAGAAACCGTAAGAGAGTAAAAGTTTGGGGGTAACTTGTTATGTGGCCAACAGCTAACAAACACACTCAACTTTGGGGAGGCAGCATGACAGCTTGGGGCTCTCACCTGGGTGTCTGGCGGCTCCTCAGGGCCTCCTTCTTCAGCAGCTCCAGCCGCTGTGGTGAGCAAAAGCAGGGGTAAGCAGCCCCAGTCTTCAGCAGAGCTTCTACAGCCTGGGTGTACAGCTCAAGCCTCTGGGACTGCAGGTAGGGCCCAGTGGGGCCTCCCCGGCGTGGACTCTCGTCAGGGGGAATACCTGGAGCATGGAAAGAGAGTAATCACCAAATAATAACCATGAGATACACATGACATTGGTTCTCAGGCACTGCTCTAAAGGCTTGGCAAATGGAGGAAAGCTACTAATCCAGCAATATGTGAGCTCAGTTCTACCATGATTTCCCAACTACAGATGAAAAGCTAAAACACAAAGTGGTTTAGTATTTAAGGTCACACGAACTAGAGGAGGAGGAGTCCCGTAGAGGTGTGCTGGCTCCATGTCCTTGCTGCCAACTACATGTGCCCTCCATCCACCCTTTTCCTAGGGTGGGAAAACCCACCCAGGCCTGGAACAGTCAACTCAGGAGGAAGATGTGGTTCAGGGCACAGTCCAGAAGGTCTGGTTGGACTGCTGGCTCTGCCCCTGACTGGCTATGACAAGGGGTCCAGATGTGGAAGTACCAAAGTGCCAAGCTGTTTTTATATTTTGTGGTTCCCACCAAGGCTCAGAACAACACCAAGTAGATGCCATTATCATTCCCATTCATTAACAAGGACACTGAGGCAGAGAGACTTGGTTACATCACTTGGCCAAGGATAAGAGGCACAACTAGATTCAAACCTGGATGAGCTAGTCCCAGAGTCCATGCTCTTAACCACTCACTGTACTGTTTCTTTGTATTCTTTAGCCTTTGTAAGTCCCCGCTCCTTTCTCCAAAAAGTAGAGCTGACAGCCTACTATGCAGAGTGACTGAGAACTGAAACCATCGGTGCTCACAGAGCACTCAGCCCTATGGCATCCTTCTAACAGATGCAACATAAGCCCAAGAAAATATGGTCTACATATTAGTAGGCAAGTCTCCAACCCAAGGCCTAGGTTCCTCAGGTCACAAAGGACACATTAAACTATGAATATTTTCAGGAGAGAGCAGAGGGGACACAGAAGAGTTGAATGATGGTGTTTCTGCCCTTTAAATAGCTTTCAAATGAATTAGGAAGATAAGAACCCAGATAATCCTGCACATTCAACAACAACACAAACTCTGGAGGAGACTGTCCAGGTTTGAACTCACTGGCAAGTACGCAAACCTTGAGTGAGTTGCCTTTCAGAGACTCCATTTCCTCATTTGTAAACACAAACTTACCGTGAGTGTGGTCACAGTAAAGTGCTTAGTGCACTGCCTGGTACGTGCAAGGCACTCAGTCAGCTTTGGCCATAATTGTTGTTAGTATTATTTAGCTCCCTACCCCACTGGGCCTCCACTTCTTCATTTGTTAGAAAAGAGGGTTGGATTAGGTATATTTGGGGGTCCTTTCCTGATCTAACTGAATGGGTTCAGCACGTGGATGTCGTAGAGTTTAAGAGTAACTCCACTAGGGGAACTGAAAACATGTTCACAGCTCTGGCCAATAGCTCAGTTGGTTACAATGTTGTCTTGATACACCAAGGTTGAGGGTTCAATCCCCAGTCAGGGCACGTATGAGAGGAAACTAATGAGTGCACAACTAAGTGGAATAAAAAAAAAACAACAAACAAATTTTTTCCTCTCTCTAAAGTCAATGAAAAAACTTTTAAAAAAAGAAAACATGTTCACATAAAAACTAGTACATTAATGTTCACAGCAGTGAATCATAAGAGCCAAAAAGTAGAAAAAAGCTGAATGCCCATCCATGGACAAATGGATAGGTAGGCAAAAGGTGGTATTTCTATACAATGACTGTTACTTGGCCATAAAGAAGATGAAGTACTGACATATGCTACAACGCAGATGAACTTTACACTAAGTCAAAGCCAGTCATAAAAGGCCACGGATTGTAGAATTCCATTTACAATGTATGAAATGTCCAGAATAGGCAAACCACAGGGACAGAAGGTAGATTACTGGTTGCCAGGGGCTGAAGGGGGAGGCACAGGGAGTCACTGCTATTAGATACTGGGTTTCGTTTCAGAGCAATAGAGATGTTTTAGAATTAGAGAGTGGCAATGATTGTACAACATGGTGAGTATACTAAAATTCACTGAATTGTACACTTTGAAATGGTGAATTTCATGTTATGTGAATGACATGTTAGAAAAAAAAATGAATGACCCCTGAAGCAAGGAGCTCCAGCGATTAGCACTCTGGGTGCCTGGGAACCTGCCCTCTGCCTCACCACAATGCTGGGGCAGGGACTGCAGGCCTCATTCACACAGTCGTGCTGGACCAGGGGCTCCACGCAGCTGGCACTTGTTCATTGCCACCCTTTGTGCCCAGCAGAATGCCTACATGTAATCAGAGTTTTCACCTGGCTTACACAGCATAACAGCTCTGCCCATACCTCTCATTACTCTGCTCTATCACTGTGCTTGGGTCATACTGGCCTCCTGGCTGCTCTCCTAACACGCCCAGCACTTCGCTTCCATGGGGCCTTTGCATCTGCTGTTGCCTTTGCTTTGAGCACTCTTCCTCTAGGTAGCCACAGGGCTGGCCCCTCGCTTTGTGTAAGTCTCTGCTCTAGCATTACCTCCATAGCGAAGACCCAGTGTCTAAACAAGCATCCGCCCCGTGGGTTCCCAAACCTGCTACCCTTTTCTTCATAAAAAAAATAATTTGTTTACCCATCTTCCCCTATTTAATGAGCATAGGGTCTCTGTTGGTGCTGGAACACTACCTGGGTCACAGTAAGTGAATCTGGGTAAGGAATGCCTTTTTATTCAGCTAATCTTGACTGAGTAGCTACTATAATCCTTTATGATAGATGACAGAAATGAAATCAGTTTCTGCCCTTTAGGAACCCAGAGTCCAGTTAATAATTTATCTGAGATTAAAATACACATCTCAAAACAGCCTTAGTATTTTCTCTTAGAGAGCTTAACTAGTCATACCTGTTCCAGCAGACAGGCAACTGTTCACCCAAGGAACACAAATACACTTTTCCTTGTCCTCCCTGAGCTTAGCTGTGTTCAGGATTAAACTTCCCACGAGGAGATTGACTTCAGTTTCTCATTTGTAAAAGAACAAATGTGAGGCCAAACACATTTTGTTTGGTTCATACAATGTGGTATTTAAAAAAATCCCAAAAACCTGAGCTCAGATTTAACAGTGGGAGGCATTTATTAAAAACAATAACAAAACCCTGGAATTTCGGTTCCTCTTGGAAGTCAGAAGATTTGACAAGCTGAGCCAGCATTCCCACTTAGAAATAAGGGACTGGAATGTCTTCCAGCTTACCACAGGTCTAGCATCCTCCAGGTCCATCTTATACTTGGTCTATTTTCTACCTGCTCCCAAGGGGACTTGAGATTCTAGGATAAGAACAGGAATCTCAACAGGACCTTTTCTTTAGGCAGCTTTGGCATCTTTTTAGGTGGTACCTGCCACCCAGGCAGCACAAATGTCCCATCTCTCTAAGAACTCCTCATTCTCCATCCTGGTGTCTGTGGGAGGGCTACAAGGCTCCTTTCCCAGCCAGTCTCACCTGCCCATTCCAGCATGTCCTCAATGTTGTCTGCTGCCCCGGGCACAAGGCGGGACTGGTCTGTGTCCTCCAGCCGCAGGATAAAACTCCCTCCAAGCTTCTTGGCAAAGATATAGTTGTACAAGGCAGTGCGGAGGCCACCCAGGTGCAAAAAGCCTGGTAGAAAAAGAGAACAGTTAAGACAAGGTGGGTAACATGAGCTGACAAGCCTCAGTCCAGGGGCAAACAAGCTCTGCTTGTGACAGAATATCTCAATGAATATCAAAGGCCAAGAAACCACCAGCTCTGCCCCATTTCTCTAGCTTGCACCCAGATAGTCAGACTGCCACAGAAGAGGACATGGTGGTGACTCCTTTAGCCTCTTTCTGGAAGACCACCCAAGTTTTGGAGCATGTCCTTTTGTAAAAAGGCTCCAACTCCTTGAAAATGCATCCATTATTCTACTTTAAGATTTGCCTCAAGGTCAAGTTTCACCTAAAGCAGCAGAAGCTTATTCACTGAAACCATCATTACATGTGCATTTAAATTATGCAAATTCAATGATGTGCTTGAGGAAAAATTACAAATTAAAAATGCTGTAAAATGATATTTTCTATACATTCTCTATGCACTATCACGACTGTCCATATCATACATTTTGAACTTTGTCTACTTGAGATTTTCACCTCAAGTGTTGGCTTTAAACGCTAACCAAGGTAACATTTGATTCTGTGATTATTTCTTGTCACCTTAATTTAAACTCCTAAGATTTTACTTTCCCATCATTCCTGACTGAAAACTTAAAGTTAACAATTTTCCCAAGGCTGTTATTTCCTACCTTCTTTGGTTTAGCCCACAGCACTGTCTGCACAAGGAACTCATCTGCATCTCCAAGTACAGGAGGTGGAGCAAGACAGGTAAAGCTCCTCTAACGTCACACAGTCTCATCTTAACACCGATTACGTGTGTGACTTGCAGTTATTGCAAGTCCACCACAAAACCACTGGTCCCAAGATAGAAGACAGGGGTCCAGGTGTTGAAAGCAAGACCTCTTATGTGAAATAAACTTGGATTTGAATTCTGCATTCACCATTTACTAATTGCTACCCTTTGGGCGCTTTAACTTGTATGAGCTCTAACACCCTCATCTACTAGAGGGATTAAAAACAAAAAAACAGAGGCCTGGCTATTGCGGTTCAGCGCCTCTATGCCGATTAAGCGCCAGAGTGGGGACCAAAAGGTCACTGGTTTGATTCTCAGTCAGAGCACATGCCTGAGTTGTGGGGCACATCTCTAGTAGAGGGCACAGAAGAGGCAACCACACACTAATGTTTCTCTCCCTCTATTCCTGTCTAAAAATGAATAAATAAAATCTTAAAAAAAGAAACCTTCCTAATAGGGTTGCTGTGAGGCCTAAATGCTGAACAAAGTACAGCCTTCACTTAATTTTAGCTATTATAATGATCTAAATCATTTGGCAATTTTTTTATCTGTTTTAGTCAACAGCCTTTGCCCTATGGGCTTTTCCTGCAAATCAGCAAGGAAACATGAATTACAATGATTATAATAGAGGCTAGTGTTAAGTGTGTTGCTAAGTGCCCCAGCTGCATTACCTCAAACCCATGAAATGGGTAGTATTATTAGTCCTGTTTGACAGATGACAAAACTCAGAGGCTCTGGGAGGTGACATAATTAGCCCAAGTTACACAGCTAGGAACTGGCATAGCCAGAAGTTTGTACCCCATCTCAGGCTCTGGCACTCAAATTGGTGCTGGTCTGTGAACTGCTGCCAGTTTACACGTAAGCACCCAAACTGAAAGTACATGTGTAGAAATTTACAGCAATTTGACAGAATGCTCTACTTGTTTAATCTAACAAAAAGTAGGCTCATATTTTGTACGCTTTAAAGGTCTCATTTTTCTAGTAATCCATCTATAGGTTTTATAAAAGTATTGGTCCATAATTGATTGGCAATTAGAAACCAGTCCTTTCAACATGGATAGTTTGAGAAGCACACTCTACACTATGCCAAAAGATCCTGCCACTCTGTGCAACTGGGATCTTGCCACAAAGATATCGTTTATATATTGACCCTGAGGTCCAGGAGAGGCACACTCATTGTGGATAAGGCAAAAGTAGCCTCCTGAGAAAAATATTGGTAACTGGTGGGGAAGCCCTGACAAGATCTCCACTAGAGTAATCCCTTTGGCTTGCTAAACTCTAACACTAACCACAGGGTAATTTCCTTTGCTCGGCAGGTTCCTTCTAGAGGTTCGCATAGCTAGCTCCATGTCATTCGGGTCCCAGTTCAAATGTCATCTCCCCAGCAAGGTCTTCTTGAGCATCCTATCTAACCCCCAGTGTCCTATCCTGCTTCATTTTCCAAATGGCACACGTGACTGTCTACCGTTACAGAGTAGGGGCCTTACTTTTTCGATGGCCACAGTAACGCAGCGGAATAGTACCTGGCAGTTTGTACTACTACACATTTATTGAATACACGAAAAAGAGACCGAACGAGATGGTGAGGTCCAATAAACACAAAGAAATTCCTGGCCATGCGAAAAATTTCCGCTCGTGGACCTGTTACTGCCTTTGTAAAATGGAGTTGTGCTGCCCTTTCCCAGTCTGACTTCACCGGAACATCTAAGGGGCTGGCAACATCTAAGGGGCTGGCGCGAGACAGTGAGCCTCGGCCTGCAGCTTCACGCCCGCCACGGTTACCTGTGGGGCTGGGGGCGAACCGCACCCGCACTGCAGCCCCAGATTCAGAGCCTAGGCTGGCCTCACGCGGTCTCAAGGAGTGCCCCAAGACTCCCGGGGTCCTCCCCAGCTGCAAAAGCCTCCTCAAGAGCACCGCCATATGCAGTGGTTTCGCCCACGTGGCCTCCGTGAATCACTTCCGGGAACTCCTCCCAGCCAATGCGCTTCCTCCACAGGGGCCCCACCTCACCCCTTAAAGGCGCAGACCGCTTAGCCTTCGAACCCACAAACCCCGCACGGCTGAGGCCCATCTCGGCCTCTAGGGGGCGGAACCAATCGAGTGGGCGATTTTTCGGGTCCTCCCCTCTCCGCTGCGGAAAGCTGAAGCGTGGCAGGGGCCGGCCCGGGAAGCGGAGGAGGCGGGTCTCCATAGAAACCTCCACCTGTTTCCGGCCAGTCCGGGCAAGATTAGGGGCTGCTTCGAGGGCCAATCTCCGCCAGCTCTCCTTTTCCCAGCGGTCCCTGCGGGCGCGGTGGGTGTTGTACACAATCATCATGGCGGCGGCCGGGGCCCCGGATGGTGAGTGTGGTGGGATGGCGGGCGCCCAGGTTGGGCCCGGGTGAAGCGGTTTCTTCTTGGGGACGCAGCCTGGCCCGGGGTGGGGGGACCTGGGGAGGAGATTCCTGGCTCCGGAGCGGGGGTGCGGCGGCGCCCGGGCGGAGTCCGGCCCCAGGCCCAGCCCGAGGCGAGCGCCCACCCCTGACCCCCTTACAGGCATGGAGGAGGCTGGCATGGACACGGAGGCTGAGACCGTGGTGGCCGAGGCGCCCGCGCGGCCCCTCAACTGCGTGGAGGCCGAAGCCGCAGCGGGCGTGGGGGCGGCGGCCGAGGACGCCTGTGTTGCGCGAAGCAGCCTGCAGCCGGCCCCGGCCCAGCCCCCTGGGGACCCCGCGGCCCAGGCCTCAGTCAGCAATGGCGAGGACGCGGGCGGCGGCGGCGGGGGAAGGGAGTTGGTGGACCTAAAGATCATCTGGAACAAGACTAAGCACGACGTGAAATTTCCTCTGGATAGCACAGGCTCCGAGCTGAAACAGAAGATTCACTCGATTACAGGTAATCCCCATGGCAGAACAGCCACAGCCGCCTTCCTCACCTCTCCTGCAATTCGTAGTGCTTACACTCTGCTAGCACCTTGCTGGCCGCTGTTCCAGTATCAGCTTCTCAGTGCTCACGGCAGTTCTCCGAAGTGGGTACAAGGATGCCCATTACTCAGATGGGCAAAATGAGTCCTGGTATTGTAAAGCTAGTAAGTGGCTGAGCTGGGATTGAGGCCCAGGCCCAAGCCTCTAACTTGTGTTGCACAAACATTTCTAATAAAAATCACTAAGACTCTTCATAAATTTACAGTTTCCAGCTTCTTTTCCATGGAGATTTTGATTCAGTAGGCCTGGAATGTGGCCAGGAGTTTATTTTTTAGCAAATACCAGGTAATTCTCACGGGAAGTTGAGGAAACAGTACTGGTAACTATCATGGCGTCCCCTTCACAGCTGTTCCTGTTACTTAATTTTTTTCTTGTTTACAACACTTTGCCATCTGAAATGATTTCTTTTTTAAGCTTTTTCCACGTAGCCAGCCTGTAAGCTCCATAAAAAAAAAAACAAAAAAACAACAAAAAAAAACAACTTGATCCTTACTGGTTGTTGTATCCCTGAGGTCTGTGGACTCTCACTTAATATTTGAGTGAATAGAAGATTGAGGAATAATTTGGAATGAATGACAGCTAATATTTACTGAACAATTACTGAATACCAGGCTCTGTACTAAATACTGTTTGCCCTATCTCATAATCCTTAAAACAAGTCCATACAGAGGGAGCTCCTGTCATCAGTAATATAAAGTTCTGGAAACTGAACCTGAGATGGTTGTGATTTGCCCAAGTGTGCAACAATAAGAGTGGGAGAGCATTATTCACTTTGGGATCTGTTGCCAAAGAGCCCTGGTTCGTGTATGTTTTTTAATTCTTTCTTGCATTATCTGCTACCTTTTCCCAAGGTCTCCCACCAGCCATGCAGAAAGTCATGTATAAAGGACTTGTCCCTGAAGATAAGACGTTGAGGGAAATAAAGGTGGCCAGCGGAGCCAAGATCATGGTGGTTGGCTCCACAATAAATGATGTTTTAGCAGTAAACACTCCCAAAGACTCTGCGCAACAGGATGCCAAGGCTGAAGAGAACAAGAAGGAGCCACTGTGCAGGCAGAAAGTGAGTTTGTCGTGATTGCTAGTCCTGGGAAGTTTGAGGCTTTGTCCTCTGGAGCCGTGGTTGGTGATATTCTCCCTAGAATAAGCTCCTTTTTGGACAGGGCCCATGATGGAAATTTATGGCAGCAGTTGGGTGCGGCTGGCTGTTGAGTGGAGGTGACAACTACCTGAGATTTGCAACTTTGTCTCATCTGGCGGGTCAGTGTGTCTCAAGTCTATCTACTTTAGGATAAGGCCTTTACAAAGGCAGGCTTCAGAATCAGATACGGGTTTCTCTTCTGTTCATTGCCTGCCAGAGAAAAATGCCATTGCTAAAACTAACTCCCCATTTTGTGCAAGTGCTTATATTTGTTTTTTGTTGTTGCTTCCCCCAAGTCAACAAGCCCATTTCTGGAAATACATGAAAATCAGTAGCTTTCAGAGGTTCCTCTAAAACTGAGCATTTCAGGAAGCCAAATTAAACTAACTAGAAAGATAACTGTGCTAATTTCCCCCCCTTCTCCTGGTCTGTGAAATGGGGGCCTGATTTTTCATATTCTCTGTGGCCCAGTTTGGAGCTGGTTGGAAGAGCCATCACTTGTGATCTTATTATCCAGCAAACACTAGCTATTGTTAGGCAGCCTCCTGGACATTCTTAGTAGTGTTCCAGGAAGATAAATAGGTATTCTCGTTCTAATCTGTGTCCTGAGTAGAGTGGACCATCTGGAACCAACATTTAGTGATCACAGGCACCTAGGCATATGACCAAGAGTATGAGAAGGACTCAATTTTCTGTTACAGGCTCATATTCCTTTATGTGTGCTTCCAAGCTTTCAAAACATGTTTTTCTAAATATGGCAGCGGAACCTGACCGGCATTAGTGTGAATATTCATGTTTTGTCATAGAAATGTTAATGTGTTTGGTGACAAGGTGCTGCCCCAGAACACATGGAAGATATTATATAACGTATTTTAAAACTACATTACATTTATAAAACTCCTAAAACTTTTGGGTTTTATGAACATTCAAAAAATTTGCCTGTAGCATTTCAGATAAGGGGTTGTAAACCTATATTAATACCTAAAAGGTGTTTATTTGGACACAAATACGGGGTTATAATGTCTTGTAACCAACTGAATTCGTTTCCATTTTCCTGTTTTCTTCTGCCATATGTGTGAAATGTCAAGTATGAGAAGGCAGACGCAAGTGAGCTTTCCCTCTGGCCACACCCTGGGAGCACACATGCCTCTTAAATACAGGTTTTGAGTTACTAATGCTAGCTTAACAGGCTTTGAACTGTTTTCCACAGTGCAAGGGAAATTCTTCAATAGATACTTATGAGGTATGAGTTAAATACCTCTTATAATAGCAGCTTGTAATCCATGCTGCTGTGTTTCATTAATGCCAGTTATGAGGCATAACATGGCCTCATGAGAGTGACCCATCCTCATGACTTTATTAGCTCTTCAGGAATCTCAGGCTGGTATATAGGGGACCCTTTGCTAGCAGTCTGGCAGTGTTGAGTTTCTTACTACTGGGGGTTTCTGCCATGCCAGTGACCATTTGAGCTGGCTAGTGGTCACCTGTTGCTTAAATTTGGTTAATTTTTTACTCTCTGCCTACTCATTGCCCTGTAGTCCTCGCTTTACTAAAGTATCTTTATTTATATAGCCATAGATGGGGCAGAAGTAAGATTCCAGCTTGTGGGCTGGTCAGGAGCTGTCTCAGGGGCCATGAGCCTTATTAGAACCCATAAGGAGCTGCCTCAAACTCCTGGGGTGGGCTGGATTAGAGACTTCTTAATATCAGACTATAGAGTATCAGCATTTACCTTTGGAAATGTGGTTCTTCAGACTTTCAGTCAAGTTGGGGTTGAGGGTGAGGCAGTGGGGAAAACTTCTACAGTAGATGAGTCTCCATTTGTGGAGGAAATGTGCCTTTAGTCAGTCAGGCTGATTGTCAATAATGGTAGAGTGTCTTCGGGAGTTTAAAGTTGACAGAAGTGCTGTTATTTTGTGCCTGTCATGAGAGTAACACCCTTGTGACTCTGAACTTGATGTTGAATCCGTTCAGTGGTTCAACTGAGTTGGGGAGGGGAAGAAGATTTTCTTCAAATTAGCAGTCTGGAAATCCTGCTTTCTCTAGAACTTTGAGGTCTAGTATGATAGACATATCTGGCTGATGAAAATTCAGTGAAACTGAGGATTCATTTTCTCTGTCCTACTAGCCCTATTTCAAGTGCTTAATAGCCACACGTTTCCATCAACACAAACTTCTGCTGGACAGTGCTGTTCTGTAGTGTCAGAGGACCCATCTGTAGACAGTACAAGCTTGTGAACCAGAACATTAAGGCTTGCTTTCTTCATCCTGTTTTTCAGAGATAGTAACATGACAAAAATGCAGTCAACTTTCATTTTAATGATCTCTTCTGACTTATGTTATAGCAACACAGGAAAGTGTTGGATAAAGGAAAACCCGAAGATGTGATGCCATCTGTTAAGGGGGCCCAGGTAAGCCCTACTCCTTCGTGAGCATTCTGAAAACTAGGTCCACCTGACTTCTTGAGGTTCCTGTGCTCCCGTCCTGGCATCCTGTCCCTTCTCTTGTTTTGTCCTACTTTGTTTCTGGTCCCTCCCTCTCTTACCACACTCTCGTGCCTTCAGGAGCGCCTCCCTACGGTCCCCTTGTCCGGCATGTACAATAAGTCTGGAGGAAAAGTGAGACTCACCTTTAAGCTAGAACAAGACCAACTGTGGATCGGCACTAAAGGTACCTGTTACTGCTTGCAGCCTCTTCCTCACTTGCTACCTCTGGCGCCCAGCAGCACTCAGTTCTGCTCCTCATTCTGAAATCTCCACTGTGCTTTGCATGCTCCTGGCTTTTAGTTTTGCTTTTATTTTTTATTTATTTATTTATTATTATTTTTTTTTACTTGGCTTTTAGATGCCCACTTTCTGTTTGGACCCTTTTCCCTCATTCTTTTCAGTCTGATCTCAGGGCCAATATATCAAACAGTGGTTCTCTGGGTGTACCCCAAAACCAGAGTTCTTAGATATATGGTCTGAGGGCCAGGTCTGGTCCACAGACAAGGGTTTTATCTGTTTACACATAATCTGTTGAGATTTGCTGTGACCAATGTGGCTCAATGGGTTGGGCGTCATGCTGCAAACTGAAAGGTCACCAGTTCAATTCCCAGTTAGGGCTCAACCCTGGGTTGCTGCTCAGGGATCATATGCGAGTCAGCCAATTTGATGTTTCTCCCATCATTTCTTTCCCTCCCTCACCCTCTCTCTAAAAAATAGATAAATAAAATCTTTAAAACCTGGAGATTTCACTTGATCTGATTTTTGGCTCCTCTTGAAAAATATCAAAAGATCCAACTAGTCTGGACCTGCGTGCTCACATGGTAAGAAGCAGCTGGAGCCAAGTAGTAGTTACACGTGGGCATGGCTAACCATTCTCACTGGCTCAGTTAGCCTGTATGTAGCCAACATCCTTCGTTGACATTGCCCACCTGGCCCCCATAGATGAGTTTGCCCCTGTACTAGCTGCATTTTTCCTAGTACTGGGGACCTATCCTCTCCCTACACCTCAACCTGGTAGCCCTCTGCATACCCCACCAACCCCCACCTGTGCTCACTGGGTCAGGCTTGCTTTTTGCTGGGAAGTGTCTCTGTCTTCCCACTTTCTTCCCCCAGATGGATCAAAGTCTCGTCAGTTAGATTCCAGAATTACCTGTGTCCCTTTCTTTGCCACTTCATTCTGCTGCTTAAGACTCCTAGCATCTCTAAACTTGGTCCATGAAAGAAGTTAACCTGTTTCCCTGACCCATTTCTGGTCTCTTCAGTCCTGCCCATCCTCTGTACTGTTTTTTTTGTCACTGGTTTTTGTGCTCAAAAACCTTTGGTTCTTTAAGGCCAAGTTCAAATGCCTAACCATAGTGTCCAGTGTTCTCAATGATGGAACCTCAGTTTAAATTTTTGACCTAGCTTCCTCCCCTGCTTGCCTTGTCATACCTTGTGTGTTTAAGCCGCACCACTCACAGAATTTCCCTCACATGCTCTGCACAGCTGTGTCTTTGCTTATGCTGTGCATTTACCTGCAAGCCTTTTTACCATTCCTTGTTATAATAAAATCTTTCAAGGCCCTACTTAAATGTCCCCCTAATGAGCCTTCCCTGACATGTGCGCTGCCCCCCCCGCTTCTGTTCATAGAGCACTTCATTTATGTCCCCAGAGCACTCATTACTCTCTGACTTGTCTGTCCCCTGTTAGATTCCGGAGGGGACCGAACATGCCTAACTCACCTGTTTCTGCCAGCACTGTAGGTGTTCAGTGTTTGAGGTAAACTCTAAAGAGAAGTCCAGGGGATTTCATCCTCTGAGGCTAATTGGTTTCAGGGACAGGCTATTAGTATGATTCTGCTTCAAATGGGACCAAAGTTTTATGGAAAATAAACAGGGTTGGAGTGATGGGGACTGAGATTTTTATTATCTAAAATATTCTTGTTTTCATCCCCATCTTGGTTCTGAAAGTGAACAAAGACATGCCAGAAACGCTTAAGTTTTCTAATGATTGTGTGGTAACCTGCTGTATTCTTTCTTTCACCTTTGATTCTAACTGCATGATCGGAGCAGGTTTTGCAAACTATCTAAGGGCTCCCCAATTCTTCCAAGGGCCTTTGACCCCTTCAGTAGGTCATTTTCTTCTGCAGAGCCCATCCTGTCATCCCCTGCTGGTTCTTCATTTGTGAGCTGCCTGCCTCTGTCAGCTCCTCACTTCTCCATGACTTGGCAGGTGGTTGGGCTTAGTCCTCCATCATCATATTGACTCGCTAAAGCTCTGCCTCTTCCATTTTGGTGGCCGAATGGAAGGCAGTGGCTTAAGACTAACCGAGAAAGACCAATGGCCCAGAGGGTGGCCCAATCTGGATGAGAACTCTATCTGTGCATGCTGGTTGGTTCCTCAGGGAACATTTCTGCGTTAGGAAGTATTGTAGGAAACACGTCATAACGGCAGGGACTTAAGAGAATGAAGGAGAGCTCTGGAAGAACCTCAGTGTGTTAGTGCATCAGGGCTATTGAGAGCCTCATCAGCCTTCCTGAAGAGTGTGGCCATCAACTCATGCCTTCCTTCAGGGGTTGGCCACAGCTGAGATTTTCACTGCCACCAAGAGCCCTGCATCAGTGTAGTTCAGGCACTCTTCTCACCTGCCCATGAATCCTGTCACCTGAGTGTCATAAGCATTCCCCCAGAGGATACCCACTGGCTTCATCTTTCTGCTGGCCAGACACTGCTGTCAGCCTCTTTCCAGCAGCTAGTCAGCCTTTCTCAGGGGTGCTTTACTGAGTGATACGGGTAAACTCTGGTGGCTTGTATGGCAGGCAGGACTCAGAAGCCTTGGGCCTAGTAGAGTGAGAAGAACAGGCTCTTGGGCAGGAAGCGTGAATGGCAAGCATGGGGAGCATCTTCACTGCCTTGGGGGCACCTGTTGGTAGGGATGTGGCATCTGTATTTAGCTGCTTGTCACTCATGAGCATGGACCCTAGGAGTGTTATATCTTCTGCATTTTCAAAAAGGCAGAAATCCATATTTTTATGTGAAAATCTCTGGATATTTCAAGATGGTGGTGTTTCAAGAAGTTTTCATCTTAAAGACAGAGCTGGTTAGGCCTTGCCTGTGGGTCACTGTTTTTGAGCCACTAAAAGTCAAAACTAGAATGAGTGTCTTCAGTTCCATTCTCCCCACCCCCATTTTTTATGGACCGAGGCCCACAGAACAGAAATAAAATGTCTCAACTCATCAACTAGACTAGAACCGTGGCCTCTAAATTCCTAGTTCTTTTGTCAAGTTACTGTTTTCAGATTCTACCTTTTCCAGAGTTTTCTTTCTACAAAGGCTTTAATGTTTTTGTTTTTGTGTTTAAGATTTTATTTATCTATTTAGAGAGAGTGTGAGGTAGGGAGAAAGGGAGAGAAACATTGAGCAAAGGAGAAACATTAATCAGTTGTTTCTTGCACACACCTCAACCAGGGACCAGGCCTGCAACCCAGGCATGTGACCTGACTAGAAATCGAACGGGTGACCTTTTTGCTTCGCAGGATGATGCCCAGCCAACTGAGCCATGATAGCAAGGGTGGCTTTAATGTATTTTTTTTTTTTTTTTACTTGGTTTAACTGTTTGCTGAGCGCTTCTCCCCTTCCTGAGGTGTGTGCTGCTTCTGGGTGGTGGTTTTCTGGTGTCAGGCACTCTATACCTCTCCTTCCATCGTCCCCTCCTGCTACACATGCTCACTGCCAGCAATCTCCTCTTTCTGCAGGCATCGCTTGTTGCCACCGCTTGCATACCTGGCACCCTTAAACTTGCTGTGAAATGTCTTCTGACGCTGTGTGCTAAATGGTATCTTGAGTGTTAATCATAAGAGGGTGTAAATGTTTTAAGAGAACTTTCAAGCATGTGTATATGGAAGGGTAGGGGATCACAGGAGGGATGGGGGCAGGACAAGTGAGCAGGATCTTTGGACAGAGACTGGTTATACATCCCCAATAGTCCTCCTTTCTGGGGGAGCCCCAGGAGCTTGGTAGTGTCTCTTTACTCTTGGTCCTTTTGTCTGTCCCAGGCACCAAAGGCCTTGGCCAGTGCTGGACTTAGACAGTAAGGTGTAGTGGGATTTCTTGAGTATTAATTGTTAGACCTTTAAAAATAACACCAGGAAAGAGATACCTCTGTCCTCAGAGACCTTTACTATACCATTGCCACATCCTAGTCCGAATTTGCTCCTAAGAAGTTCCCAGCTCCCACCCAGGACTCTAGGGTCACTGTGAGAGTCATCCCTAGAGGGCATGACTGATTTGAGCTTATAGCAGACTCCAAAGCCACTAGCCCTGACTAGGGACTGCTGAGCCAGAGGAGTAGAACAGGAGAGCCTTTGAATAATGATCGTCATTCCTCTCAACCTAGAGCGGACTGAGAAATTACCCATGGGCTCCATTAAAAATGTGGTCAGTGAACCCATCGAAGGACATGAAGACTACCACATGATGGTAAGTAACTGGTATGCTGTGGCCTCTCTTGCCTCCTGCTTCTGCTTCTCTAGCAGGCACTGAGGCGACCCGAGGAGGACACTCAATATTCAGGAGATGCATGGTCTCAGACATTCGTTCCCTCATCTACTTAGAACTTAGTCCATGACCTAGTCCTAGTTCTCTTTATTTTGCAGCACCCACTACCTTCCCACAGTTTAAAGGGGATACGTTGGATCTCTTTTGCCTCCCTTTTAGTTGTAATATTTTGTTTTTAGACCAGGAGAATAAATGTAATGAGGAAGAATGGTTTGTGGGTTTTCATTGAACTTTTCTTACATACAGAATAAAACCTCCCACTAGTCTTGGTGTTTGGGCCACCATGCCTTCCCCCTCTGGAATGGTGTTGCCCTTCCCAGGCTGTAGCCATCAGGTGGCTGGGCTCCTGTGGGGAGGTTAGGTCTGTGGACATGGTCCTTACGGAGGTCCACTCTAATGGCACAGCTGTGTTTTCCCGAGACACAGTGTTGGCAGACGTGCTCGAGTCTGTGCAGAATGAAGCAAGAGTTCAGTGATGAACTGAGCAGCTTAGACATACCCCTTCTACTTCCCAGCACTGTTTGGAGGGACCGCTGTTTTTTAAAAACTTTATTTATTTATTTATTTATTATTATTTTTTATTAGTTATCATTTATTCATTTATTTACTTATTTATTTTTAGAGAGAGGGGAAGGGAGAGAAACATTGCTGCCTCTTGCACATGTCCCAGCTGGGGACCGGCCTGCAACCCAAGCATGGGTCCCCATGGGGAATCGAATTAGCATCCTTTTCACTTTGCAGGATGATACTCAGCCAACGGAGCCACACTGGTCAGGACTGGAGAGGCCCCTTTAAAAATTAAGTTAGCCACCCACACTTTGAAATTGCTATGACAAGAATCTGACCTGAGCAGTGACAGGGTGAGGGTAGCTGCCTGCCTCCTCTATCTGAGGAGGCAGATTTTTCAGCCCCCAAACATCAGGGATGTAGGTACGTTTGCCCTGTCTCAGGGCGAAGGAACAGTAGTGGTCTGACTGGCATGTGGTGTCACACAGTCCATGCATGGCAGACGGAGATGTTGGAAGATCCCAGAAAAGGGGGATTTAGCATCATGGCAGTCCCGCGTAGACAGATGGCAGATACTTGTACTCTAGGAAAGGTCTGTCATCTCTCTGTCTTGTCCCCTCTCCTGCCTTGCCTGTCAGTTTAGCTGGTAGGTGTGGAAGCAAGGCTATGGCTGGGTTGGCAGAGCTCCTAAGTGGCTTTGAGCCCGTGGTGACAACGCCCCAGGGCTGTTTTTGGGCCCTCTGGTATGTCTTCCACTCCTGGTCTCTGGTCTTTAAAGGACTACAGGTGAATTGTTCTCTTGCTCAGTTATTTTTTTTCTTTTGAGAGTTGGATTTTATTATTTTCATCTGGTCTCCTGCACTGCCATTTGAAGCATTTGTCTTCTTAGTTTGCAGCCCCAGTTTTTAGGCAGCCTGGTGAAAAGAGTTTACAGAAGCTGAGTGCCAGTTTAAACCTCTTAAGTGATTGGTGGTGTGGCTGAGCAATGCCTTAGATTTCGTTTAAATGCTCATTTTTTTCTGGAGTCACTTCTGGCAGCAAATGGCTCTGATCACTTTTCTCTAAACATTTATTAATTAGCACCTTTACCTTTGTCCTAATTAACGTATTTCCCTCTTTGCAGATGCCATTTCACTAGCTAGGTTAACATGTCAGAGGTCACATTAGAAGGGGGTAGCTGTGCTTTGTTATTTTTAGAGAAATCTTTAAAAATACAGGAAAGAACAGTGAGTACTGTAATAAATCCATATATCCGTCACCAAGAAATAACAATTGTAAATATTTTGTGACTTGCTTTGAATCACTTTTTAATGAACGAAAATTTACCAACAGTGAATTCATCCCTGTTGTCTTCCCCTTCCCCACTACCCTCTATCACATGGATCTTCCCTGCTCTGCTTTCGTTTACATGTATGTCCATTAACAAGCTTCAGTACTGTTTTGTGTTTTTTCAGTTTTCATAAGTGGTATCATGGTATGTATCGTTCTGCAGCTTGCTTTTTTGGTTCGACATTATGATCTATCTGTATTTACCATAGATCCAGTCCATACTTTTTAAAAGTGATCCAATGTTCATATGAATGGGCCATGTCACTTTTAATTTTGCATTCCCTCACTGGTGGGTATGTAGGTTGTTTCCAGGTTTTATCATTTCTGGCAGTGCTGCTTTGAACGTTCATTCCTTGTGCATGCATGGCAGTTTTTCTAGGGCAGTGGTTCCCAAATGGGTCTCTGGATCAGCAGTGTCACATCACCTGGGAACTCCGTATAGTTACAGATTCTCAGGCCTCACTTAGCCCTGCAAGTGGCTCTGATGTACATTCGGGTTTGGGAACCATTGCTCTAGGGTCAGCTGTGTTTATATCCCTCTTGCTACTGCTGCTTTGTTTTTTGTTTGTTTGTTTGTTTGTTTGTGGGGTTTTTGTTTTTTTTTGAGGGGGTGGCAAGAGAATGCTCTCCACATGCAGATTTTTTCCTCTTCCTCTTTTTAAGTCTCTTTTCAGCCCTCCCCTGTGTTTGTTGTGCTGCTGCTCAGTCTCCCAACCTCTGAAGTGTTGCTTGGTTTTCCTTTTTCCCTTCCAGGCATTTCAGTTGGGCCCCACGGAAGCCTCTTACTACTGGGTGTACTGGGTTCCAACTCAATATGTGGATGCAATCAAAGACACTGTGCTGGGGAAGTGGCAGTATTTTTGAAAGCACTTTCACCTCTGGCCCAGGAGACTGACCCAAAGTGAAGGACATTGCTGGGAGAGGCCTGCAGCATCCCTGGATTTCAGAGTTCTGGAACTTTGTTCAAAAAACAGTCTATATCCAATCTAAGGTGATGTGGTGACTGAAGCCAGAGGTGATGTTTTTTCACCCTTAGCTTACTTTTAACTTAAAATCACCAGTTCCCTTTCTTGCAGTCAGCTTCATACCATTTTTAAAGTCAGTACAGTGGAAATCAATAAATCTGAATTCTGAATGTGTTGTGTGGAATACTCTTAAGTGTGTTCAAGAATAGATCTGCCAAGGTTTTGTTTAGAAAGGAATGGTCAAAAGATTTCTGCTTTTTTAAAATGATTTTAACTGAAATATTTTCATAAATCTTTGGTTGTAAACATTTGGACTGTGTTGTGATGAGCCGGGTTATTTTTTTCCTTCTTCATATAAAATTGTATGCAAAGTGGGAGGGTTGGTAAGCCATATTTTTCTGTCCATTGATTCAGACTTAATTCTTTCCATTTTTCATTTTCTCACTTCCTAGATTTGAGTTTTTGTTTTGAAAACCCAAAGATGTCAGTTCCACCTTTTGTACCTCATTGCTGCTTCCCTTCCTGGCATCCCTCCTGCTATGCTGCTGCTCTTGAGTGTGCGGTGGGAGGAAAATGCTGGGATCTCGGTCAGGGAGCACTCACACATGCTGTGGTGTCTGGTGAGCCGCAGAGTATTACACGGTGACTCTTGACAAAACGTCCTGCCCTTTGGGCACCAATCAGTAGGTTATCTACAGCCCTCACCAGGTTGGTTTTGATGCTCAGCGTGCCAGAGGTGTGCCTGGCTGTGCTGCTCCAAAATCCCCAGGCTGCCACAGGCCTTCAAGGAGGAGCCAGGTGGAAGACAGTTTATACAGCCATATATTCACAGGCCCATTGTAGAACTTTCAAGAAATTCTTAAGCAGTCCAATGATTATTTCAGTACACATCTTCATTTGTTCCTTTTCATGTGTTGTTTTCAAGTGTCCTTCATTTCAGGTTCAGAGATGCTGCCTTTCTCAATAAGAAGACATCTGACCTAGTGGGTTGGCGATATATTGGAACATCAAAAATGGAATAAATTGCTTTTGTGATTAGCTCACCCTCTTCTGGCTTTAGCCCTTATGTTCTTTGTACACGTGAACTCTGTTGTCTCCTTGTGGCTTGGTTGACTCTGAAATGAGGGAGAGTCTTTTGGTGAGCGGTATCCTTGTGCTGTTTGCTGTTTTTCTGATGCTGCCTTTGCAGTCCTCTCACTGGCTGCAGGCTCTCAGAGCAAGGCTTGCCAAGAAACTTTCCAAACCTGACATTCTGGATTCTAGGCTGTTCCCTCTTATTTTGTGAAATGTATTAGCATGTGGGAGCCAGTTACTGATGGTATTCTGTACCCTTTCCTCTCAACTGTACTTCAGGAATCAACCAGTGTAGACAGACTCATGCTTCTCATGGTGTAGTCATTTCTGAGTTAGGCATCTGGGCAGGAAGATCTACACTTGTTTTTTTGTGGGCATAAGTACATTTGTTGAAGTGTAGTGTCCAAGACACTGCCTGTTTTCATCCTTAAATAAGAAACAGTAGCTGCAGCTTCTCTGTACTGTTGGCCACAGCTCATGCAGAAAACAGTGCTTCTGCTCTCCTGTTGTTCCTCTTCTACAGCTGACAGGTCTGCAGAGGACATGGTCATGGAGCAAGCAGGGTATCGTCTCAGTTTGTTGGCCAATGTCCCTGTCCTGGAGACTTGTCCTGACAGTGCCACACACCACTTCTTTCTCTGGAAGCAGGTGTTTTCGTCCCCAGACTGGCCTCACACTGCTGCCCTCAGAGGCCCTTCCTGCCAGGTCTCCTTATTTTCCCTGTTTGTGTGGCTGCCACACCATGAGACCTCCCTTTCTCCCAATGAGAATGTGTGTCCCTGCTCCCCAAGAGCCAAACTGCTTCTCACTCAGGCTGGTGTCATTTCAAGACAGGACCAAAGCCTGTGTGAGCCTTTTTATTTTAAGTAAAATGGTGCTTTTTTCCTTACTTCAAGATACTATATATAAATAATGTAAATGACATCTTTTCATATGGAGCTGTTTGATGGGGCTCACTGAACCTGCCAGATAGAGCAGTTATGAACTCTGGCTCCTGGGCCAATCTGCATGGAGATCTTGCTGAAAGCCCTCAGAGAGCAGAGGTGGACGGAACCAGAAGCCCTGGAAGAGGTGTTTAATTAGATCTGAGTTTGGGTCCCAGCAGTATTCATTGTCTTGTTTCTCAGTCCTGTGAGGGGTCTCTTCCTTCTTTTCTTACGGTCTAGAATGTACTGAGACTTAATCTGTGTTAGCAAGCTGGCGTACTCTCCCCTTAGGTACATTGCAGCATTACTGTGTCCTCAGGATGAGTTCTGTGCAATTCCTTCACTGTCAGAGGGGATCAGCTCTTTGTCTGGGTTGTGCTTCCCTCATGGTGGCACAGGGCATGTAGGTGGACCGAGGAAGTGCTGCTTCCAAGGGGCTTCAGTGTGCAGGAAGTAGTCTAGGGGCCTGGCATCTTTTCCCTGCAGGTATTTCTCTGAGCCTCGTGATGGGCTTTCTCTTCTGGAATTTGTGCTGGTGGTCCTCCTGCAGGTCTTGACTCACAGATGCTATCCTTCTCTCTCTCCCTGAGGCAACTTGGTGAATAATGACAAAGTGTAATCCCTGCTGAGGCCAGTCCCGTTCAGCTCTTGTGTCAGTCAGCCTGATCAGAGAACTTAAGACTTGCGAGTTGCTGAACTCTTTGGTGTTAAGTATTTTACTTGATGATAGGCCTTCTACAAGTAGTTATAGCTCTTTCTTCTTAATGAGGTGGAACTGAGCTAAGGATGTCCTTTCTTATAATTTGTGGACACAGAAGGCCAGTGAGGCCTGAGTAGGCTCTTCAGTTGCTGCTTTACCTTACAAGGGCCAAAGAGACAAACTGCCACATTGCCACGGCTCTGAAAACCTGTCATATTTCATCCAGAAGGGGCTTGCTTTCCTCTTCTCTTACTTAACTATGTGCCTGGAAGAGCCATCCTGGGCTCTTGTTCTTGGCTAACCCTTTCTTTGCTAGGGGCAGGAGGAGAAGGGATGGAATCTGTGCCATGGACCATGGTAGGACTGGCCTTCTTTCCACCCTGTCTTTTGATGGAGACCTCTCCCTTGCTCCATGCCTCAAGTCATGCCTATTGTCTTGGAAAAGGATGGTCCCTTTGTTTAAGGCTTTGTGATGAAGTCACCTCTAGTTAGGATTGGCACCTGTCTCTTTCTTGAAAGGGCCTGGTGGCCTCTCTGAAGTCACAGGTGGTCAGGAGCCCTCCGGAGTAAAAACACCTGGTCCATTTACCTGCCAGGCTGAGTGGTTCTACTGCTTTCCAAATTTCAAGAACGTTTTTCTTTTTCTTAAAACAGTTCTCCAGAATGAATTGACAATATACGTAAGTACCATATTTCCTTGTGGTGTATGCTCCATTCTGGTTTTTGTTTTTTAATCAATTGCCTGTTTGGGAAGAGATGAACATATTTAGTCTATTAGATTTGCGCTGCTGGATTTTTTTTTAAAGTGTAACCTGACTAGCTGTCTTATTGTTTATCCTGTAAGATTAGCCTATCAATTAAAGTTTGATAATTAATTGCGTGTCCTTTTTCCTTCCAGTTCTTCATGCGCCTAATCCATACTTGGGGTTGACCAATATTTGGAACTGGGCTTAGAGCCATTTTTTTTTTTTGCCAGCTGTGGTCAGTCATTTTCCTGTCTTCTTTATTTGGCTTTGAGTATATCCTGCAAAAAACAGTTGATAAAGGGATTTGATTTGATTTACTTCTGTATTAGTCAAAGTCACTGCCAAGGCCATGCTCCTGTTATAGCCCTCTGCTGCCCACTCTGGCTTCCAGGTGTTGGAGGGGGTGCCACCTCACTGTCCTTACACCTCCTGACTTGTGCCTCGTGTGATTTTACCCAACCGTGTAGCCTCGGAGGACACGTTTAGTAACACACTGAGATGGAGTTCCAGTTCTTGCCACAGCCACAAAGACCTGGAAGGAGGGAGGGAGAAGATCTGTTACCAAAAAAGAAACAAAAATAGAATCCTTGGAATGAATAGTGGTTATAGTTTGTTGAAACTAGTTTTGACCCAGTGCCCCTCCCACTGGACCTCTCTCGTCCTCCTCTACTTTGTAAGTGTTCCTGAAAGTTCTGGTCCCATGGCCCCTTTCTATCTCTTTTCCATTATTCCAACACCTCATAATCTTGAAGCAACACTGTTAGTTCTCAAGATCTGACTGGTGTGGGAGAGAGTGATGGTGGCACTGCTACATGCTGCGCATTGGCAGGCACCCATCTGGAGAATCTACTCTGCAGAGGGTCCAGATCTTATCCCAGTTCTGAATGGTTACTACAGGCACCTTTCAGAGGAATAGGGTGATTGACTCTTCTCAGGTGGATAGCGATGTGAACTGCAGTCCTAGTATCGGACTATACCCTTTGTGGGGGTCTCTGCATTTTCTTAACTGTAGGTAACTAACAACCCTTTCTGCAAGGAGGATCCCACAAGCCAGATAGTCTTTAGGGCAAGAAGCAACAAACTCTTCCTTCTCATGTCCAAGAGGTGGTCTGTTTAGCCTGTCCACATAGGAAATGGAGGTGCCTGTCCCCCAGGAGCGCTGAGGTGACACCACGTGACTGCTTTCAGCTGGGATTGACCTGTGTCTTTCCCTAGTTATCAAGGCTGTTTTTGTCCTGAAGCCTTGTTAGCCAGTCTTCCTCTCCTGATACAACTTTTCCTACTGTTTACCCTATTTATAACTCCTGATTTCAAGTTTCTTGCTGTTTTTACTCCCCTCGCCCTTACTTAATTTTAATCCCTTGCTGTTTTCCCTTTTTGGTTTTGGAAATTTTCAAATTGACAAAGCTGAAATATGCCACATTTAACGTCTTACTCTTTTCACCTTGGTTCACCAGTTAAAATATTAACCAATATTTTTCTCTTCTTCTAGACACATACCCTTTATTTTGCTGAAACATTTTACAGATGTGCAGGGTTATCACATTTCACCTGTGGGTATTTTAGCACATACCTTCTAAGAAAAAGGACACTGTTATACCTTAACACAACATTGTCACCTCACTTAAGAAAATATCAATTCAGTAATATCACTCAATATACAGACCAAAATATCTTCTAGAACTATTTTTCTAATCAATAATACTTATGTTTTAAAATCCTTA